ACATGTTTCCATGCATTCTATGTGTCCCTTTCCTTCCTCACTCCAGTCGTCTGTCCAGTGGCCCCACTAAGGAAGCCCTTTTTACAGCATGCGCATTGGAGGACAGCTATCCTATGTATAGGTGACCCCAGAGCAGATTATGAAGCTGTATTTACATGTCTGTGTCACTGTGTATCTAGCTTTAGCTCGGTTTAAGAGATGGGGGTCTCTTACCTATGTTGATACCGTGGGTGTTTCCCTGTGTGTGTTTGGGGGTACTTCTAGGAAGGTTTGTGTGTGCCTACCTGTGTGAATGTGACAGATACAGCGATGGATTTGTACCTGTGTACATATGCATATATAGGTAGACATGTGTGGACATTCACATATCTGTGCATGCCCTGTGTGTACATGGCTTTGTGGTCCAGGCTCCATAATCTGGCTTCCTTGATTCCACTGTCAGCAGAGGCTGTGGCCTGGGGTGGGGCCAGGTGAGACTGGACTGAATCCCCCAGTGCTTGATAGTCGTATTTACAGAGCTCCGAGTAGGACATAATTGCTTCTATTAATCTTTCTCCGGTTGTTAATTGCTCACTTATCGGGTTGTGTATTATGCCGACTGTTGCTCTTAATTCGCCTCCATAGCTGCAGGTGTTTGCTGCCTTATTAGCTGTTAATCGGCACGGCTAGGGATAGAGACTTAATTGGCCCCTAGAGTGGAACACAGGCGGGCCAGCCGGGCACTGCCAGCCTCTTAGCCTGTCCCTAGAACCCTCACCTGTGGCGCACAGGTGGCTACAGGGAAGGGGCTGGCCTACTGCCAGCATACATCAGTCTTACAAACATTAGTCAGAATGGCACCTGCAAGGTATGGTCCTTATGCAGCCCTGCCTCCTCCCAGAAGCCAAACGACCAATCAGAACCCAGATCCTACACCCATCTCTATCACTAACAACAACCTTCTGTCTAGGATAGGAATCAGTTCCACTTCATTGTCAGAACTAACACCAACACAGAGTAAAACTGGGTTTTGCCCTTTGACACCTCTTCTGCTTTCCCTGTGAGCCTAGCCCTCAAGACTGTTAAGGCTGGAAGAAAGAAGGCAAGAAGGAGACTCTACCAGAACTGGAAGGGCAGAAGTTAGCCCCAAAGACTTCTCAGTCTTTGAGGAAGTTCTCTGGAGAAGCTGAAGTGCAAAGAAGAATAAGAATTTCCAAAAGGATCTGGGAGCCCATGGCTCATGCCTGTACTTCTAGCTGCTCAGGAAGATGAGATCTGAGGATCAAGGTTCTAAGCCAGCCCAGGCAGGAAAGTCTGTGAGACTCTTATCTCTCCAATTAACCATCAAAAGGCCAGAAGTAGAACTGTAGCTCAAGTGGTAGAGTACTAGCCTTGAGCAAAGGTGCCCAGACCCCAGTACTAACACACACACACACACACACACACACACACACCCATAGAATTTTCACGAGGAAGTTCTGCTGTTCATCTCACCCATACTTCTTGTATAGCCCTGAAAACAGGGAGCTCACTCCCTCCATGGACTCTGCATAGCTGCAGCGGCAGCAAGGGGGCTCTTTGTACTGAGTCACCCCCCCAACTCAAAAACAACAACAAAACTATATTGTAGCAGACAAGTGGCAATTATCCACAAGGGAGAAATTGAGACCCTGAAGGGGCAAGGAGGTAGCTGGAGGGTTCCCCAGTCCTCTGTAGTAAAGGCTGAGACATGCAACTCTCCAGGCAAAGTTTCTGTTCTAGGTCTTTACCAGGGCCCTGCTCCAACCCAGACAGTCCTGAAGGGCACTTTCTCAGCTATCACCTCCTCAGCTCCATCTGCAAGCTGCAGCTGACCTGGCAGCAGCCACTTCAGGCTCAACACCCTTTGGGACAGGAACGCAAAGGTTCTGGAAACTGTATTCCATAAGAGACAAGGGAAAGGGGATAGTCAGGATCCATGCTGCACCAACCTGGCCTCCAGCCTCCAAAGACAAACAGGCAAGCCAACAGTCCTCTTCTTGTGCCTGGAAGTTCTTCCTGGGGTTTAGCTCTCATGTCTTGATCTGCAAAGGAAGTTGATTTGCCTTAGCTAAGTTCTGAGAGGAGTTGGCTCTAAAGGAGGGAGACAGAGAATCATCTTTGTGTGCTAGAGCAGCAATACATGTGTAAAAGGAGTATCCCATTTAACCCACACATACCCCAGTGAGGTAGGGACTAATAGCACTCTTTTCAGGGAAGGAAACTGAGCCACAGAGAGGAGAAATAACTCAAGACTACACAGCCAGGGAAGAGCAGAGTGGGGTTCCAACAAGACTTGGTGTTGTTTAGGGAAGTGAGCATCTTTGGTCAGAGACACCTGGAGGGACCCAAGTGCCCGGTTCATTGAAGGCACAGGGGACCAGGGGCCGGTACCCCCTGCCAGAGGTCTCCACCCACCCCAAATCTAGGAACACTGATACGCTAAACACTCACCCAGGCACAACTCAGGTGCAAAGGGCAAACAGCCCAAACAAGCTCGGCCACGCCCCCTATGCAAATGAACGCAGATATATGCAAATGTGTGCATGCACCGGCTTAAACCATTGGGAGCAATGAGGTGACACAGAAGCAGTTGCTAAGGAAATCCAAAAACGACACCCCTTACGCCCCCGCACCAGCAGGCGCACAGACACGTGCGCGAAGACCCAGGGTTCCTCGCTCCCCCTCGCCCAGAGGATCTCGGAGTGGCTGGGGATGGGAACCGGAAGGACCCCCCCCACTGTGTCCAGCAACGGGCTGGGGGGGTGGGAGAGGAGGGGGGGAGAGAGAGACAGAGACAGACAGAGACAGAGACAGAGACAGAGACAGGAGAGCAGCTCCGCGATCCCTGCGGGCCGCAAGCGCCCACCACCAGAGCCCTTTGGGTAGCCTGAGACTCCAACTCCGGCCTAGCAACGCTAGCCCCGCCCAGCGTTGCTTAGCAACGCCCCTCGAGCCTAGCAACCGCCGACCACGCCCCCTAGCAACGTCATGCCTAAGCGCGTTCCGGGCCCCTACCAAGACAGACACCGTCCTGGGGCTGGGAACTGAGGCCAGAAAGCGGCTGGGGATCGGGTGGCCCAGTCCCCGCCCCGAGGCAGGGCTCCAGGGTCTGGGGGTGGGGGGTCCCATGTAAAGTCCTCTCCCTGCGAACGAGGTGTAGGAGCGCCGCGCTAGCACCCCCATTTACGAAGGCCCGAACTGAAGCTCGGAAGGGGAGGCCCTCCCGGAGCACCGAGCGGTGCGGCCCCGCGCGCCGCCCCGGCTCCCCGGGCGGGCGGAAGCCGCCTCCCCCGCCCGGGCCGCGTTCGGAAACCACCCAAGTTGCGGGCTCGGAGGAGAGCTGCAGGTCTGCATAGTAATTTGCGTTATTTGCATAGAGCGCTGAGGCTGCGGCGTCCTCGCGCCCGAGCCGGACGAGGTCCCCCAGGAGCCCGGCGCCTTCCCTGGCTTACTGTGCGGGCCCGCTCCCGGCACCCCCACCCGCCGCCCCCCACCCCCGCGGCCCTCCCCGCGTTCAACCTCTCGGACTCAAGTTCTCTCACCCCGCCCCCAGCTCAGCCTCGGCCCGGCCAGCCCCGACCTCCATCCCCAGGCCGAGGGCCCCCTCTGCTGTCGGCCGCGGGTAGGGCAGCCCCTGAGCTTATGGGGCAGCGAAGAGGGGCTCCCCCTAACCAACGCCCCTCTTTCCCTGTGCAGGAAGGCCAGTATCCGAGGTCCACAAATGGGTAGACTTGGAGAAAGTAGGCAGGGGGTGTAACCGTGTAGGCTCTGGGATAAAAGCCGGGGTCCTGCAGAGATTCTCTTCCCTTTAGTCAGGCCCTGCTTCCCCATGTTGGGTTGGTTAGTAGAGCAGAGAGTTCCCTAGATGGGAGTTCTTTACTACATTAAAATATATATGGCTGCTGGGAGCAGCTCTTTCCAGGCTCAAAGCAAGGCAGCAATGTCCAACCCTAGCTCTAGCCTCAGCCACGGTGATGCCTCACCCCAGTCCCAGAACCCTGACTTTCCCTTGGAGCAGATGAGATACAGCAAGGGGTCAGCCTCAGCAGAGATTTGCAACATGGACATGCAATCACACATGCACATAGGTGCACACACATGCACACAGATGCAGTGAATATGCCGCCATCCATCCAAAGGAAAAAAAAATCGCAGTCACTGGTTTCCAAAACACTGTAATTTGTTCCCTAGAGCTCTCTGTCTGTGTCCTCCAAAAGTGTCCATTTCTCTCTCCCCTAGTCCAATCCTGCCTTTCTACCCACTGGTTATTCCTCTCACTCCAAAATCCTTGTCAAATGCTTCTAGAAGCCACTATGGCAACAGCTGTATCCTGGGACACAACAATGGTTCAGGACCCCAGACCAACTGACAAGGTCTTGTATCTGTGCACAAAAATTCACGCACCAAGACAGGCCCTGCTGTCTCACGCCTGTAATCCTAGCTACTTAGGAGGCTGAGATCTGAGGATTGCTGTTCAAAGCCAGCCAGGGCAGGAACATCAGTGGGAACTCTTATTTCCATTTAACCACCAGAAAATCAGACGTGATGCTGTGGCTCAAGTGGTAGAGTGCTAGCCTGGAGCTGAAGAGCTGAGAGGCAACGTCCAGGCCCAGATTTCAGGCCCCACAACTGACAAAAAAAGAAAAATCAAACACCTTGCTGGGCCCTGGTAGTTCATTCCTGTAACCCTAGCTACTCAAGAGACTGAAATCTGAGGATCACAGTTCAAAGCCCCATGGAAGGATAGTCCTTATCTCCAACTAACCAGCCAAAAGGCTGTGGCTCAAGTGCCAGAGCACCAGCTTTGAGTGAAAAGCTAAAGGACAGTGCTCAGGCCCTTAGTTCAGGACAGGGAGAAAATCCACACCTTAAATCACATCTGGCTAGGAATAGGCGCTCTCTTGCCCAGCTAGCAGATACAATCCTAACTTTGCCAAATTTTTTATTCAGCCAAAAATCAACAACAAACATAACACAAAATAGAAAACAAACATTAGGTGGGGAGCACTGACAAACATGGCCCCCCCACCCACCTCCTTCTGGGACTCAGCACAAGTAAGGGAATCAAACCCCTGTTCTGGTGGATAAGAAAAGCCTCACTTCTCTAGGGAAAGGAGCCAGCATCTGTAGGGCCCAAAGAGGGGCCAGAGTCGAGGCCAGGGGGCTGGTAGAGATAGCCAAGACTCCCTGAGACTGCAGGGGGCTGGACAGATGCTGTAGAGGGTGTGGGAAGGGGTGTGCAGTCTGCGGGCCACAGGGAGGCTTGGAGCTGGTTTCTCATCGTCACCAAGGCTTCGAGGTTCTGGAGCATGTCTTGGTGGAGACAGGAGGTGCTGTGCATGTGCTGATCATGGCCAAAGCCACGGACAACTGGAACTGCTGAGTAGGGATGTTGAAGCTGGCAAGAGCCGCACTCTGGAGGCTGCTTTCCTTGCCCAAGACCCTGCCAGGTTTGTGGATCTACCCAGGGCCTCCCCCTGCCTCTGGGGAGCCTTTGCCAAGTGGGAGCCCAGCTTCCTTGGGCCTGGCTCTGCTTTGGGGTATCCTCTGGGGGAGGGAAGCCTTTTAGTGCACTCCATCTCTTGTCCTCTGGCTGGTAACATCTTGCCTCCACTTTGCTGTTGAAAGAGACCTTCTTGCGAACTTTGCCCAGCACCAGGCTGGACTTGGCTTGGTCTGGAAGCCCTTCCTTGGGGAGCAGCACCGCTAGCAACAGGCTTGAGTGAGTGGCTTCCAGACCTGGGAAAAGGAGGAGGGAGAGACCCAAGGCCTGGAGGGAGGTGAGACAGAGTCCACTCTCCCTCCAAAAGCTGCACTCTGGCTACAGCAAGTATGGAGGTTAGACCCTGGGAAAAGTAAGTGGGAAGGTGAGCTTGTCTAGGGAGATTGGGGGTAGAGGTGAGCAAGGTCCACCTGACTGGCGGTGGGGCATAGAGCTCAAGGCTCTGTGCATTTATTGACTACCTCAGTCTACCAGGATAGGCAGCCCAGAAAGACCAAAGACTTTTCAGTCCCCTCTTGAGTCCCCAGTCCTCCTCCCTAGGAGCTTTCCTGGATCCCCACCGGGAGTGAACCCGACACAAAGGCCAAGGCCACATTTGACCAGCAGAGCTCCAGAGAAACACCCCACCCTCTGCCCTTCATGACATTTTTCTTTTTTCTTTGGGGGGGGGGGTCCGGTCGTGGGGCCTGAACTCTGGGCCTGGGTGCTGTCCCTCAGCTCTTCAGCTCAAGGCTAGCGCTCTACCACTTGAGCCACAGCGCCACTTCCGGCTTTTTTTTTTCTTATGTGGTGCTGAGGAATCGAACCCAGGGCCTCAGGCATGCAAGGCAAGCGCTCTACCACTGAGCCACCTTCCCAGCCCCCTTTCATGACATTTTTCATCCACACTGTCAAACATTGTCTGGATCCAACCCCATCCTGCTGTGTCTCGGTCAAATGTGGTAGGCTCCAAAGCTTTGAGTCAGGGGAGTGGAATTAGAAAGGCAGTAAGGCTAATGAATGGCCTTAAAGCCAGGGGATGAGCCTGGCTTTCCTACTGCTCTGCTACTATATGACCGGGCAAACCACTCACCTCCTTGCCTCAGTTTCCTCATCTGTAAAATGGGGAACCTAATAGTACCATTCAGAGAAGACTATTTAGACTCTAAGAGTTAATGTAGGGGAAGGCCTGAGAGTGGAGCTCAGTGGTAGAGCATGTGCTTAACATGTGTGAGACCCTGGGTTCAATCCCTACAACCTTAAAGAAAAACAAAACAAAACACACTTCCAGTGGGCCTTATAACCTTTGTTACTCAGGAGGCCGAGATGTGAGGACTGTGGTTTGAAGCCAGCCCAGGCAGGAAAGTCTGTGAGACTGTTATCTCCAATGAGCCACCAAAAAGGTGGAAGTGAAGCAGAACCCGAGCTCTGAAGCCCCAGTACTCAATACAAGGGCGTGCATGTGCACATGCGTGCTCGTGTGCCTGCACACACACATACACAAAACACAGACACACACACACACACTTCAGCTAAATAAAGCTTTTAGAACAATGGTGGGTGCATGGTAAACAACAGTATCAGTCTTCCTTGTTCCTTTTTTCAGTGCAGGTGACAGAACTGGGGTTGGGTGGGGTAGGCACTCTGCCCACTGATGCACCCCAGCTGAACTGGTCAGGGGCTCCCTTCTGAGACGCCATATCCAGGCTGGTCCCTGATGGGGGAGAGCAGGGCTAGGGTGGGCATCGGGCACTCACCTGGGCCTCCCAAAGACCGCAGTCTTGTGGGCAGGGGCTGAAAGGCGGGCAGGGGCAGCAGGACCACCCCCACCTGCTCCACGGCTGCCAGGCCATGGTGCTGCTTGTTGTTGAGGTAGGAGCAGAGCGAGTGGCAGCTCTCCACGTCACGAGTCCCCCGGGGACGCAGTCTGACCACGCAGATGTCCTGCAGTCACAGGAGGAAAGCCCACTTGCTGGTGCCTGGGAGCCCGCTTCTGACAGTAGGAACCAGAGGGGCTGGTGGAGGGTCCCGTGGGAGTCTGAAGTCCCATCAGGAATGAGACCTGGACTTCCCAAACCAGGTGGCTAGGGAGGGCTCCCAGGAGTGGTGGGGTAAGGCCTGAGGAGAGGGGAAGGAGGGTGGATGGTTACCTTGGCCCTGGCTGGGCAGATACTAGCCAGAAGGTCCCAGACAATGTTGGGAGGGAGGCAGCCTGCTGAGTGGATCACCTCTGGCAGAGCCTGGGAGCAGGAAGGATGGCCAGTCAGCCCCTCTCCCCCAACCCCTGCTTCCCACCTCAGACAAACTCATTCCTAGCCAAGGCAAGGAGCTGGGCAGACCATGGGTAGGGACAGTGTCCAGTGGCTGCCCAGATGACTGATTGCCCCCAAAGGCCTATAACTGGTCCTGGCCATCTACAGCTTCTCAGGAAACCCCACTACCCTTCCATCCTTAACCACCACTTCAGCTGATCATTCAGTCACTCAACAATCATCCCTAAAACCTTTCGCTGGGCCAGAGAGGCACGTAACACTTCTCCTTCATTAGGCCTAGAGGTATAAGGAATGTGTGCTCTCTGTAGGCATAAGGCTGGTGGCTCACATAGTCCCATGCCTAGCAGAGGCCAGACACAGAGAGGGTACCAATGACCTGTTTTAGCATGAGGAACAGAATGGCGGAATGAATGAGTGACAAGGCAGCATGTGAGGGGGTCCCTGGGCAACAGGGCAGGTGCACCTGGACAAGCTGACTGCTGTGTCCTGAGACCAGCTGGGCCTTGACCCGGAACCGCTTGATGGAGTACATGTCAAGAACACCCTCCCAAGGGGGTGGGCTGGGTGGGGCCTTTGGGGGCCCATCAGGCATCTGAAGCCTAGAAAGATAGAGTTGATATCAGGCAGAACCCATCAGCAGGACAGTCCCAGCATTGGTCCAAGTATGGTCTGTGCAGGAAGGAAGCGGTGAGCTGGAATGACCAGTTCCATGGCATAGATGGGAAAACAGAGGCTCACCAGGGCAGGAAGACTCAACCAAAGCCTTTCAGGAAAAAAAGAGATGCTGTGTGTCCTGCCAACCCCACTGGTGCCTGCTCCCCCCCACCTCCCCATACACATCCCAGGGCCTAGTGCCACACCTGTTTTGAGGCTCCGTGGTGAGCATCTCCCTGGCTTTGGGCACCTCTGGAGAGCACGTAGGATCTGAGGTTGGGGATCTCTTGAAGCCAGGATCCTCCCTGCTCATGGTAGTGTTGGGCAAGGAGGGTTCCCCATCTGCAGATAGCAGGGGCACAACAGAATAAGCAGTCAGGGCTGGCGGCAGCCCAAAGCCCCACCAGCTAGGCTCACCCCACCCTGCCACCCACCCCTGTGAGGCCTCACTTGTGCATCAACCACCCTGTGGCCTTCCTGCACCCCCTCTACCCACCTGGGCATGTGTGGCAGTTGGGGTCCATGGAGGGCTGCCCAGACGTGTCCTCCAACAGGGCGGGCAGTTCCTGGGGACCAGCATCTCTCAACACCGGGGCTTCCTGGAAGGTGGAGGAGCAGAGAAGGGCAGATAGGAGGGTGGCTGGGAAAGTCAGGGGCCCTCTGTGGGTAGAGAGCCTCGCGGATGTGGTTTATTTTCTTTTTCTAAATAATATTCTTTTATTGTGAAATGATGTGAACTTATGTAGAAAATCTGGATACCAAAAAAATAGCAATTGGAAGTGGCGCTGTGGCTCAAGTGGTAGAGCACTTGCCTTGAGCTGAAGAGCTGAGGGACAGCGCCCAGAGTTCAAGCCCCAGGACCAACCAAAAAAAGAAAAAAATAATAAAAAAAATAGCAAATATATATCTATTTTGGGGGGGAAGGGGGCAGTCCTGGGGCTTCAACTCAGGACCCCGGGCACTGTCTCTGAGCTCTTTTTGCTCAAGGCTAGCACTCTACCACCTTGAGCCACAACTCCACTTCTGGTGGTTAATTGGAGTTAAGAGTCTCACAGACTTTCCTGCCCAAGCTAGCTTTGAATCACAATCCTCAGATTTCAGCTTCCTGAGTAGCTAGGATTACAAACATAAGCCACCAGCATGCATGAAGCTTTTGGGTTTTTTTTGTTTGTTTGTTTTTGTTAAAGAAACAAAACCCTTGTTCCAGGGGGGTTAGGAATGTAGCTTAATAGTAGAGTGCTTGCCTAGCATGCATCGAAGCCCTGGGTTCAACTCCTCCGTACCACATACACAGAAACAGTCAGAAATGGCACTGTGGCTCTAGTGGTAGAGTGCTATCCTTGAGCAAAAAAGCAGCTTAGAGACAGTGTCCAGGCCTGAGTTCAAGCCTCAGGACTGGCAAAACAAAAAACAAACAAAAGCCTTGTCCTACCACAGACAACCGTGAGTATCTGGGGTCTTCCTTCATCTCACTGTAACAGCTGGGATCACATAGTCAAACTATGTGTCCTCATTTTGTCCATTAATTAGAGCAGAGGAGTTTGCCCTGTTATCTGGTCCCCCCAGACACTTCAGTGAGGGGAAGGCTGTAGTGCACATGTCACCTCTATGGTTAGATGTCTGTGTCATTTTCAGGTTTTCACTCTTAGGAACAGCTCCCAGGACATTTTTGTCTTAGGTCTAGGTCTCAAAAGACAGATGCAGGCACAATGGACATTGTAAGACTCCAGATGTTCACTGACATACTGTGTTTCTATAATCATAGTACGAACTTTTTGTTGTTGTTATCATTCAGTTGTACAAAGGAGCTACAATTCCATACGTCATATTATTAGCACCAATGCTTCTTGGTCAATGTTACCTCTTCTTTTGTTCTCCATTTTGTCCCCCCTATCCCCTACCTTCAAGTTACATAGTTCATTTTTCATAGAATGTACATTGCATACAATGACATTTGCTTACCCAGGAAGAACATAGTGTGTGTGTGTGTGTGTGTGTGTGTGTGTGTGTGTGTGTGTGTGTGTGTGTGTGTGTGTGTATGCGCGCGCGCGCGCGTGCGCAGGTGTACTGAAGCATGAACACAAGGCTTTGCTCTCTTGCTTGGCTCTTTTGCTCAAGGCTGGCACTTTGCCACTTTAGTCACACCTCTACTTCCAGTTTCTTATTGTTTAGTGAGACAGAAGAGTCTCATAGACTTTTCTGTCTGGGATGGCTTTGAATTGTGATCCTCAGATCTCAGCCTCCCAAATAGCTATAATTTCAGCTGTGAGTCATCAGTGCCCAGCAAAAACTGTGGTCATGTTTCTTTTTCTTTTTTGGTACTAACAGGGTTTGAACTCAGGATGTGGCACTTTCTAGACAGGCACTCTACCACTGAGCCCCACCTTCAACCATATAAGAAGAGCTGTAAGCACACAAAAGCGTGTTGCTAGAGGAAAGTTTAAGAAGCTCTTGAAAGACTACCATCCCAGGAGCAGGGCACAGGCCTTGCAGTGAGCTAGCCTGGGCTCAACCCTCAGCTCCAGCAACACACTGACCTCTTGTGCTGATAGCTTCAAGTTCACCCACCCTTTCAGTCAGTATCAGGTTTGAATGATGCACTGTTTGTCAAAGGGACCCCTAGATGTTCCATAGAGTCAAGATTATCACATGTCATTCCCCTTCCCTCCTCTCTTCTCTCCTGGCACAGTCCCTGCCCTTCTGCGCATGGCTTGGCTTGGGGAGCAGGCACCCGCCCCCCCCCCCCAAGGATTTCTCTGCACAGGCAGTCTCTCCTTTTGGCGGTGGGAGGCATGGAGAACAGAGTTTTGCTTCCAAGGTCACTGCAGTTTCTCCTGTGCCTGGCTCCTGTAGGTGCTCAATAAATCTTCACTGCATGAAGGAATGTGGGCCAGGAAACCTGCCCTGCACCCTATGTCTTGAACACACAGCTGAACTAAACCCATGGGGTACCCAGGCAAACCAGAGCAGCCTCTGGGCATGACCAAGGTGAACCATGGGGAAGTCCCAGTTGTTGGCGGGAGGCCAAGATGCCTGGTTGGTTCAGATGCCAGGTGGTTGCTGAACCACCACAACCAGGCAGGCTCTCCGCAAGAGGGAGGAGCCCTGGGGAGAGGAAGGCACAGGATGTGCCTGAAGGCCCAGCCCCTCCCAGGGACAAGAGAAAGCCCAGAACCTGGACATTCTCCAGAGCAGGATGAGTTCCAGAATGGCCTCTAGGCTCAATGGGTCTCTACAACACAAATTCACTGATGACAGCAGGTCTCCCTTGGCTGCATCCAGTAAAAACCACAGCCACAGGCCTGGTCAGAATGGCCAGGACCATAATGACTGGCCTCAGTGACACTCTTGTGGGTACCTTCGAGTTCAGCCAGGGCATGGGGGAGCAAGACTAGCACCAAGATGGCATGGACCAGACCCATGGGGGTAGTTCCTCCTTATCCCTGCCCACCGTGATCTTGTGTGGTAAGGGTTACAGTCTCTTTCTATCATGAGCAAGAGGACAATGGAGCTGCTAGGTGACTCTCCTAAGGAGCCAGAGGATCCTGGGGTGCAGGTTTGGCCCAGTGCCAGCTCAGGCCCCCACTCACCACTAGGTCCTCCAAGGTTATCATCTGGTCCAGGTCCCTCGGGATCTCCACTTCTCCCTTATGGGTCAATTTGGAGGCTGGAAGTCTGTATGGCTCCTTCTGTTGCTGCTCAATGATCCCCAAGCTCTGAAAAGGTGGAGCTCAGGCTTCAAACTCTTCCTGCCTCTACCTCCTAGAAGTAGCTGGGATTTTAAAGATTTTATTTTTTTTTTGGATCCGGTTTTGGGGCCTGAACTCTGGGCCTGGGCACTGTCCCTCAGCTCTTCAGGTCAACGCTAGCGCTCTACCACTTGAGCCACAGCACCACTTCCAGCTTTTTTCTTTTTGCTTATGTGGTGCTGAGGAATCGAACCCAGGGCCTCATGCATGCAAGGCAAGCAAGCGCTCTACCACTGAGCCACCTTCCCAGCCCCTGAAGTAGCTGGGATTTTAGGCATGTGCCATCTTTCCTTTTCTAACAATCCTATAGCACAGGGATCTAATCCGCTATAGTAGGTTAGTTTCTCACCATGAAACCTGTGCAGTCAGAAGGGCCCACACGTGGCTAAAACACTGCTGTTAAAACTCTGTATTGAAATTAACTTTTTTTCTTGTCCTGGACTTGAACTCTGGGCCTGGGGGCGGGCGCTGTCCCTAGGTTTCTTTTGCTCAAGGCTAGTGCTATACCACCTGAGCCACAACGCCACTTCCGGCTTTTTCTGTGATTAATTAGAGATTAGAGTCTCATGGACTTTCCTGCCTGGGTGATACAGCTAGAATTACAGGCATAAACCACCAGCATCCCACCTTTTTAGTTGTTTTGTTTTTGTTTTTGCTTGTCATACCAAGGTCTGAATTCAAGGCCTTATGTTCTTGCTCAGCTTGCTTGTTTGGCTGATGCTCTACCACTTGAGGCATACCTCCAGCACAGCTTTTTGCTGGTTAGTTTACATAGTCAAGTGAACTTTCTATGCCTGGACTGGCTTGACACAATCCTTCAGATCTCAGCATCTTGAGAAGCCAGGATTATAGGTGTGAGCCACTGGTACAGGGCACAAAATTCCTAACAGTTGTTGAGCAAAGGACCATCTATTTCCGTGTTTCGTTGTATTCTGCCTGACACATTATGTAGTCAGTGCTGCCCTCCTGCCTACCCCCCCCCCCCCCAGTCCTGTCCTCATTCCCTTCCTCTAATGCCAGGACAAAGGCTCAGCCAGGAGCAGATGGATTCATTTAATGGACTCTGCTTATCAGATCTGACCAGCTTGTCTTCTACAACAGTGAGTTAGCACCCCACATCATCACTGCGGTCTCAGCCCCTAGATTAGGGTCTTCCTCTCACTGGGCCACCAGCAAGGGCTGGGCAAGCCTTCCCTAGGCCTCACCTTCCCTGCTTCTGTGGATATAGGTACCCAGAGGCCACCCCAACATTTCCTAGGCTTTTTGGGGCTGGGGTGGGAAGAGGGGCGCTGGAGGGCGTGGCTTCCCTACAGGGGGACAAAGGGTGGAGATGAGTACCTGGGCCTCCCTCCCTCCCCTCACCCAGCCCAGCTCCCCAGGACACTCCACATCACCTCTGTCCCCGGAGCCTTTTGCTTCTTCCTTTTCCCTTTTTCAAGGGAGCCCTGACTCCCTCCTTCCTGACCATCCTCCCTTTCTCCCCCACCCCCACCCCTGCCTCACATCTCCCTCTTCTTCCATCCTTGGGCTGCCCTCCTCCCTCCCCCATATTCGCCACCTTCCCTGAAGTGGCTCCTTCCCTGGCTCACCCTTTTCTCCTCCTGGTCCCTCCAGCGCGACAGCTCTTGGGGCGCCAGCTGGGTGGAGTTCATCCGCACCAGGGCATGGGGGGTGATGTCGCCACAAACCACTTTGAGAAACAGCTCCTGCAGGGGGTGAGGGATGGGCTAGCCCCCACCCCGGCACCCTACCACTGCCAACACCCCAGAGGGAGAGGCCGTTCCCCCACTCACTGGGTTCCTGGGGTCGCGCAGGTTGAAGAGCAGACTGCGGTACTTGTTCTTGTAGCTGCAGCTGGTGTCTTGTGTCAAGTAGAAGAGGGCGGCCTCGATGCCAGTGGCAAGGTCCTCCACCTTCTCCCCCCCCAGCAGTAGGTTGGGGTGCTCCTGAAGGCTGGGGGACAAGGGAAGCACCGTGGGCCCTGAACCCAGGATATGTGTCCTGCACTAAGCCTGAGGGAGGTGTGCGTGTGGCTGGTAGTGGGATTGGGACCAGCTCCTTCCAGTTCCAGACATTTATTCCTCCACCCAGCCTAATGAGGGAGAGGGGACCACTCTACTCCTGCAGATGAGGCTGCTGGGGCTGAGACTGGGGCCTGGCCCAAGGCCACATGGTCAGTGGCAAAGCAAGATTCGAATCCAGATCCCCCAGGCTCTGTCCCTAGCCAGTGGACCCGGGGACTGTGAAGGATGACCAACCTGGGTGGGGCGGACAAGACTGACTTTGAAGCTGCCACTCCTTGACGTCTTGTGGGACTTTGCAAAGTTCTGCTGGCCCTAGGTTTGATCAGCTCTGGGAACAGATCTCAGCTCCCAGCACTGACTCTCACTAAGACTAAATGCATGTGTTGTGGTGAAAGCCACAGGGGCTGGGCAGACTGAGAGCCAAAGGTGTGGCCTTAAAGGCAGATCTTGGTTGGCCTCTGGGTTGTGGTGGGCTGTGGAGCCACCTGATGGCATGCTGGGGGAGGGGGGCTTACCGACTCCACAGCACCTCCTGCATGGTCCGGACTACGGTGTCCCGCACCCTGATGTCCAGACGTGTCATCTCTCTGGGCTGAAGCCACACTGTGGAGAGAGGCATGGGCTCTAGGCAGCGGCAGGAGCTAGAGCAGGTAGAGGAAGCTCCCCCTCAAGGACTCAGACCTCTCCATCTGCTTGGGAAAAGGTCCTAGCAGATGCTGAGTGAGAATCCTCCCCAGACCCAGCAGCCCTTCTGTGACCCTTCACCTGAGTCCTCTTCCCTGTCTTGAAAAGTCTGCTTGTCTGAAGCCTCCATGGGGCCATGCTGGAGAGAGAGGGGAGGGAGAGGAGCATTGTAGGGAGAGTCTCTCTCACCCCAGCCCAGGGATGACTCTCTCCCCAAGCCTTGAGACCCCATTCCCAGCCATGTGATGGGCACCCCACTGACAGCTGGCCACTCAGCCTTGGAGGAGGGGGTCCTCAAGGAGAAAGGACAGCTTTCCAGAGTGGGGGAGGAAGTGCGGAAGTCCCCTGCTCCCCCCTGGCTGAGGCACTGACTGCGCTGCCAGCCAGGACCGAGCCTAAGCTCGAGTTAGCTCTCAGAGCCCAGGCGGGGTGGGGGTACTAACCCTGCCACTGAGCCCAACAAGGCACCTCGTCTCTGATCCATCTAAATCAGCCTCCGTCAACTGGGTTAAGCGACAGCGTAAGTGAAGAAGTCTCTTCTGTACCTGGCACATGGCAGGGCTCTGAGTAGTGGCCTTTCTAATCCTGGGCCTCTGGGTGGGCAAGGCTGAGCTGACCTCCATGAAGTCCTCCAGAGCCTCCAGCTTCAGCAGCTCACCCTCTGCCTGCACATGGCCGATGGCCCCCAGGAGCTGAATGGTGTCTCCACAGCTGAGCTGCAAGGAGACCAACCCTTGAGGACAGAGCACTGGACTGCTCCCCTGCCCCCAGAGTGTCCAGTTCAGCCACAGTTGCCTACTGGCCTGTGAGCTCCATGGTAATTGAGAATGTGCCCCCACAATTGAGAATGGGTCCCCACTGTATTCCAGTCTCTGCCGAAGGCCTGGCTCATAAGTAGTGATTAGTGAGTATCTGCGGAGGGTAGCTTTCCAGAACTGGTAGATGGCGAGGAGCTGATGCAACAAGATTCTTCCTCCCCCTCTCTCCTCCTATAGCTTCCTTTGGGCTCTGTGTCACCTGAAGTGTGTTGTGATTCTTTCCATTTATTGTAAACCATGGGAATTGAAAGTTAAGTGTGTCTAAAAACAAATCCTTGCATGAATGGTCATATGGCAAGGTGTAGGGGGAAACCAGGAGTCTCAGCTGCAGCATCCTAGGGGAGAGGAGTGCCAGGCTGCCCAGAAGAAGGCAGGGGACTGGGACTACCTCTGCCACGGGGCCCCGCCCGTCCCACCACCCAACAGAAGGCAGGAAGGACAGCAGTAATAAAAACGTGAACACTTACATAACACACATGCTTCACCCCGGGAGGCCTGTCTACTTCCTCCTTGAAAAGAGAGGGGACAGAGATTAGAAGGAAGGGCACCCAGCAAGACACCCAGCATTCTCCCTGCCAGGGAGGCCACAGGAAGACACTCTTCTTGCAAGGCGTGGCACAGACCCTGGACTGGCATTTCTAACAAAGTCAGTCACAATCCAATGTCTATGGAAGGGAGAATGGCTATTCAGGGGTGATATATCACACTATAAATTCTTTTTTTTTTTTCAGTTTGGCAATTCTTTTTTTTTTATTGTGAAAATACTGTACAGAGGGGTTACAATTACATGGGCAAGATAATGAGTACATTTCTTATCAAGCATTGTAGCCTCCTCCTTTGTTTGCCCTTCCCATCCCTTCCCATCCTCCCCTCCCCCTGCACCCCCGCCCAATCCTCCTTCCCTCCTCCACCCCCCCCACCCCCCCCCCCCGCCCACCAAAGTTGTAAAGTCCGTTTTTGAGATAATGACTTGTACATCTCATTGTTGCAATGGGTCCACCTGTATCCCTATTTAAACGATTTGTTTTTTCCCTTCCCCTCCACAAATTATACCAACATCAAATACAGTGAAAGCAGGGCTTATACGGTGGCCATCAAAAGGGTGAAGGAGCTGGGTGCCGGTGGCTCACACCTGTAATCCTAACTACTCAGGAGGCTGAGATCTGAGGATCACAGTTCAAAGCCAGCCTGGGTAGGAATGTTTGTGCAACTCTTATCTCCAATTAACTACCAAAAAGCCAGAAGTGGAGCTGTGGCTCAAGTGGTAGAACACCAGCCTTGAGTGAAAAAGCTATGCCCTGAGTTCAAGTTCCAGTAAGAGCACAAAAGATTGACGGAGACACAGACACAGACAGACAGACAGACACAGACAAGGAAAGAAAAGAGAAAGCTAAGCAAGAGCTCATCCTGAGCTCAAACTCAATAACACATACACACAAAAGGATGAGGGATAGCTGGGCACCGATGACTCATACCGGTAATTCTAGCTTCTCAGGAGGCTGAGATCTGAGGATCATGGTTCAAAGCCAGCACAGGCAGAAAAGGTCGTGAGACTCTTATCTCCAATAAACCACCAGAAAACTGGAAGTGGTGCTGTAGCTCAAGTGGTAGAGTGCTCGCCTTGAGCTGAAGAGCTGAGGAGCAGTGCTCAGGCCCAGAGTTCAAGCCCCACGATTGACACATTAAAAAAGGATGAGGGAGTCATAATTGGAAATGACCTCTCAACTGGGTATCAGTGGCTCACACTTGTAATCCATCTACTCAGGAGCTGAGATATGAGGTCTGAACTTCAAAGCCAGCTCAGGCAGACAAATCTGAGAAATTCTTACCACCAAATAATCAGCAAAAAGCTGGGAATGGGGACATGGCTCAAATGGTAGAGCACCAGCCTTGAGGGTAAAAGTGAAAGGAAAGAGCAAGGCCCTGAGTTCAAGCCAAATTACTGGCATTTACACACACACACACACACACACACACACACACACACACACACACAGAGTAAGGGAGTTAAAATTAAAATGTTCAGGGGTGTCTAAAGTAGTTGGAGGAAGCACAGCATTACACAAGCTGATGCAAGTCTCAGGACACTGTTACTATCCTCCCATTTTACAGACAAGCAAACTGAGACCCTGCAAAGCTGGCAGGAGAGAAGCTAGCGCTGTTGAATCCATGGCCCCAGCACTTAGCTACCATGCTGTGAGTTCCTTTTTTTTTTTTTTGGGGGGGGGGGGGTCCGGTCGTGGGGCCTGAACTCTGGGTCTGGGCGCTGTCCCTCAGCTCTTCAGCTCAAGGCAAGCACTCTACCACTAGAGCCACAGCGCCACTTCCGGCTTTTTTCTTTTTGCTCATGTGGTGCCGAGGAATTGAACCCAGGGCCTCATGCATGCAAGGCAAGCGCTCTACCACTGAGCCACCTTCCCAACCCCCACGCTGTGAGTTTTGGAAATGCGGGAGGATCCATGGAAAGATGTCCTGGTGCTTTATTAGGACAAAAAGAGGGGAAAAAATAGGTTACAGAACAATGCTTGTTGCATAAGACCATTTATGCAAACATATATTTATAGATGTAAAATCAATGTTATCTCTGGGGAATGAAATTCCAGGGAGACGTTCACTTTCGACACATATATACACTTGGGGGTTTCAGTGATTCAAAATGAGCATGTATTTCTTTTATAATCAGAAACATATTTTTTATTAAAAACTGAGTGCAGAACAATATATGTAGCATGCTGTTCGTGTTACAGAGAGAATGAATTTTTAAATTTGTGTTTGCTTGAATACACGTGAAATATCTCCACGAGCATCTATGGAATCAAATAAATAGGGTGTTGCGTGCAGGGACTGTGTGCTGGAGAGACATTTTCACTTTTGTTTTATGTTTTTAAACCATGGACATGAATCTGCCTTTAGAAAAAGTGATTGAGAAAGAAAAGAAAATAATCGGAGGCATCTGGGGAGGGGCATGGAGAGATGTGAAGACCAGCCCTTCAGTGTGGAAGGCTTTTGGATGGCCTCAGGAGTCCTTACCCCAGCTCCCTGGTGTCCAAAATAACAGGCAAGGGACTCAGAGAAGCCGGGCACCAGGGGCTCTGCCTATAGTCCGAGGTACTCAGGAGACTGAGATCTGAGGATCACGGTTTAAAGCCAGCCTGAGCAGAAAAATCCTTGAGACTCTTATCTCCCATTAACCACTAGAAAACCAAAAGTGGAGCTGTGGTTCAAAGTGGTAAAGTGCTGGCCTTGAACAAAAGAACCCGGGAACAGGGGCTGGGAAGGTGGCTCAGTGGTTGAACGCTTGCCTTGCATGCCTGAGGCCCTGGGTTCGATTCGTCAGCACCACATAAACAAAAAGCCAGAAGTGGCGCTGTGGCTCAAGTGGTAGAGCACTAGCCCTGAGCTGAAGAGCTGAGGGACAGTGCCCAGGCCCAGAGTTCAGATCCCACAACCGGACCCCCCCCCCCCCCAAAAAAAAGAACCCAGGAACAGCGCCAAAGCCCCAATTTCAAGCCTCTTGACCGAAAAAAACAAAAACAAAAACAAAAAAACAACAGAGGAGCAAAGATTTAGATACTGGATGTTTCAGACCAGAATATAAAATATGTACGCATACTATGTTTAAAGAAATAAAAGGAGAGTTGAGCATATGGTTTTGAAATGCTAAAGGTTATAGAATAAACACAGACTGGATATGGAAGCAAATGCAATGTCTGGATTTTTTTTTAATCCAGCAAAAATCAAATTAAAAACTCAATGTATAGTCTTAACAGCATATTAGACACAGCTGAAAGCAATTAGTGAACTAAAAAGCTTAAAGAAGTTATCTAGAATGTTCTCAGCAGAGAGACTGACACACAGTCAACACAAATGATAGAGTGAAAAAGACTAATTAATCTAATGAACATTTGGCTGGGAGGGGGGAATGAAAATAGGGCATGGGCAGAGGTACAACTTGAAAGTACAGGGCAAAGAATTTTCCAGAATGGATAAAAGATCACAATTCACAGATTCAGAAAGCCTGATGAATTTCAAACAGGATAAAAAAAAAAAAAAAAAGCAGCAGGAAATCCACACCTAGACTGTTGATTTACTTCAACACCACTTGATAACAGGATCAGAAAAGCACCAGGATTAAAAAAAAAAATAGCCTGCAAGAACACCTAAAATGTGCTCCTACTATGAGCTTAATCCCTCCCCCACCATGAGTCTAACAGGCTGGTACAATTACTGGCTTCATTTGATAGAAGAGAAAACCTAGGTTCAGAGAAGTTGAGTAAGTTGTCCAAGGTCACACAGCTAGCAGTCCAGAGCTGGGATTTCAATCCAGCAGCTACCTTCTCCACCATAACAATGATAAGCAAAACATAGGAGGATGTTATTTTTCAGTGTGCTTAAAGAAAAGTACTATCACTTGCAGACCTAGACAAAATATTTTTCAACACTCAGTAAGAAAAAGATATGGTATGAAAAAAAAAAAAAGATATGGTATGGAAAACAAAGAGAGTTGTTTCTCGTGGTAATTCTATTTTCCTCAATAAGCAAAATGCTAAAGGATGAACTTGAGGCAGGAGGAACGAGAAATGAAGCCACTTAGAAGAGCTGAGATGCAAAATGAGGAAACCTCCACACACAAGATGACAAACATGTTGTTAAATCTAAGCAAACACTGTATGAAATGACAATAGCAGTGTGTAATTTGTGAGATTAAAAAATAAAATAGGACCAATTTAGGGAGTAACAATAGCACACAAATTGGGAAGGTACATGCCTAGAATGAAAGCACTCCAAGGTCCTCCCAGCATTGCACAGAAAGAGGGATTCAAACTACTTTTATGCTTTGATAACTTAGGTATGCATGATAAATTTTCTAAGAGAACTACCAAAAGAACACAAGAAACTTCCAAACACCTCAGAGAATGAAGAAATAACCTAAAAGACATAAAAAAATAATCTAAAAGGAGGCCATAAAGGAGGGAGGATGGAAATACAGCAATGTAGACATATGCCAACCATAAAATAAGTAGCTACAAGAAACTGAAATGAGCCAGCTGGTGGTAGTTCATGCCTTTAATTCTAGGTATTCAAGATGCTGAGATCTGAGGACCATAGATGCTATCCAGCCTGGACAGGAAAGTTTGGGAGATCCTTACTGTGAGAACCTATGAGGCAGACAGTCCCGCCCCGTGAACACCAGGCTGCTGGGGGATGAGGAGTCAAAGGACAGCTTGGGGATCGAGTGGGGTTCTGGGAAGAAGGGGATTCCGGGGAGGAGATAGAGGAGAGAGGCCACAAGAGACATGCAGCAAGGAACTTGGCTCCTGGAGCGAAGCAGTGCCCGGCCTGGCCCTAGGAAGCCCCAGCCAGCCTGAGGGGAGACCTGGGCTGGCGGATATGACCGGGGACTCCTGCGCAGACTGAAGAGGCCTGTGCAAGGGTGAGAGACCGGTGGAAAGGTGGAAAGGCCTGTGAAGAGCCAAGAGTCCTGTGGAGATCAGAGAGGCCCACACAGTGTTGGAGAGGCCTGTGGAGAGTCGGAGAGGCCTATGGTGATCGGAGTGGCCCATGGAGAGCAGAAAGGCCCATGGGAAGGAGGAAAAAAAAAAAAACTTGCTCCCTTGGAGGTTGCAGCTACTTTTAC